AAATTCCCATTATAGACTAATTTTAAAACTAGGGAAGAAGATGCAAATAAATCACCACAGGTAGAAAGAGCATACTAAAATTAGTAAATTTGCAAAGTTTGGTTGCGAAATGTTGTAAAATGCGGAAAATATAGCGTTGCAAAGTTCGCAAATTTTTTATACTTTTGTATTGCGTGCGACCATTTTCGGCCCAAATGTGGTAGGAATGTGGTAGGAATTCCGCACGCGATACAAAAGTATACAAAATATGCGAACTTTGCAAGGCTATATTTTCCGCATTTCACAACATTTCGCAACCAAACTTTGCACACTTACTAATTTTAGTATGCTTTTTTTAGCTGAGTTGTGATTTATTTGAGTCTACTTGCCTTGTTTTAAAATTAGTCTACAGGGTGTATCAAAAAAAGCGCAATCCTCGACTGAAATGTAAATTGCTAAACAAATAATAGACGAAAACGTTAAAGTTTACATTCATTTTAAAGCGTAGCCATTCAGCTTTCTAACAATGGGTTGTTTCTTAAATTTGACTCATTGGTTCGCGGGTAATAATACTTTACGTTATTGCGATTGGAGATTAAATAAATTGAGATGGAATAACAAATCGTTCTCGTGAAAATAACTGATTTTTTCATCAAAACAAAAAAATGTTGCATTTTAATAAATGGATTGTAACAATAAGTATAATTACGGCTTTTCTTCCACTATTTTTAACACAGTTTGAAACTTCAAATGCGATATAATTTTGGCTTGGACCATCTAAGCTGACTGACATCAGCTTGCTATAATTTCTGTTTACATTACATCGCAATTCGATGACACTCTGGCTCAGACACCAGAATGTTTTGATTCTATGATTTTTAGCATTCGTTTATGATTTTCAAACAACCTGGTCTCTTTTAAAATACTTTTAATTTGTTCTTACGTGGTTTTCCAGATGTAGTGACGACAACATTAAAGTTTAAAGAAGAAACTTGTAACATTTAAACCGACTAAACAATAACATAGTAAACTTGCATAATTAAACAGCAACTAAAAATGATAGGTTTTACTAAATTTTTTCCTGTACAATTATTGCTAACATTGGAGACAAGGATAATAGTTTGTTTGAAAGAGAAAAGAACAGGCTTTGAAGTAAGCCTAAAAGCGTTTAACTAGAAATAGTATTTCGAAAGTTATTAAGCACAAAAGATGAATTGCGTTTATTTTGATACACCCTGTATAATGGAATTGTCTATTGGTATACGAAATTCCGGTAAAAGTTGAAAAAAAAACAGGCACACAACAACATGGCAAAAAATTATAATATTAAAGAAATATTTACAATTTTCCAACATAATTATATATATTTTTTCTTTTCTTTACATTTCTTATATTATTTTCATTTTTTTCCATGATATATTACTTAATTTCTTTTCATTTCTTTACATTTTATAACATTGAATTTCTTATATTACTTTCACTTTTTTTTCATAATTATATATTATTTAATTTCTTTTCATTTCATAACATTTCTTATATTACTTTCATTTTTTTTCATAATTATATGTTATTTAATTTTTTTCATTTCTTTACATTTCATTTCTTGTATTACTGTCATCTTTTTTTCATAATTATTATTATTTAATTTGTTTTCATTTCTTGACATTTCTTAAATTACTTTCCATATTTTTCATAATTATATATTACATTTCTTGACATTTCTTATATTACTTTCATTTTTTTTTCAAAGTATATATTATTTACATTTCTTTTCATTTCATTTTTTATTACTTTCACTATTTCTCGGTCTTTGGCCTGTTTCAAACGTCGCATTTTGCACGTGTCGAATTTAAATCGCTTTGGCGTGGCATCGAAAACTTCATGTAATGTGTTTCGGAGAAAGAAAAATCTTTGGATATATATTTCTATTTTTCCAACAATTTAGGCTTAAACATTCTTAAGACGTTCTTAAGTACAGTAATCACAAGGTATTTTTGCAGTTTAACGATCTTCGGTGTATTCTTAGTAAATTCTTTAAATTGTGCTTATTTTAACCTTAGATTTTTATATGTTTTAATATCTCAAGCTAAACGTTGTTCCAGGCAACGCCCAAGCCCAATTGAATTCACATATATACAAAATTCTACGTTTGAAACGGAATACACTAGAATCAAATGCACCTTGCATATATTCGACACAAGCAAAGTGGGACGTTGAAACCAGGCTTTACTTTTGTAAATTTTACTTTAAATGATCGACATACATTAATTACGAGCTACATTTCCTCTTCTATTCGCACTAAGTTAAAATTCGTTTCTTATTTTTATTCAATTATTGGATTTTAATGGAAAGACAACTGCACCCAAAGTCACCACATGCTTAAACCACAAATCAAGACTTTATATATAGTACAAGATCCTTACGCGTTTAGCCTCAATTTTGTAAGTTCAGATATTTTGTCAATCGATAACGTTCAGTAATTTAGACTAACTAAAAAACTTTTTTTCATTTATAAATAACAATATTCGTTCAATTTTTTAGTTTTTGAAATTGACTGAATGTTACCAGCATGCAGAGTCCAAACTCCATCAACCAGCAAAATTTGAACCAGTAATTTGATGCAAGACATAAGAAACGATGAAACTTTGGTAGTCAAATGTGACCGACAACTCTCAATAACTCTCTTAATTAAATCAGCATAACCGGAAGAAATAGTTGGCCTTAAATTTGATTATACTTCGATAGTGTCAGAAACTGTCAGGTTCGTATCGTCAGCAAACAACCGAAGTTTTGTTTTATTCAGGCATTGAGGCAAATCGTTAATATATAACAGAAACAATAGGGGCCCTAAAATAGAGCCTTGTGGTACACCACATTTGATCAATTTCTCTGATGAAACAGATCCTTGTATTTGGTATTTTTGGTTTCTATTTGAGAGATATGATTTTAGAAAAGACAGAGCTTGTCCTTTTATTCCATAAAGCTCTAATTTTTTCAATAATATTTGATAGTCGACAGTATCAAATGCTTTTTTTAAGTCAATTAAGACTACCAGGTTAAACATTTTGCGGTCTAAATTCATATACCAATCATTTGTACAGTCAAGTAATGCTGTAGCTGTAGAGTGAAATTTACGAAAACC